ATTTGTCGTTGTGTTTTCTGACTTGTTATTTTGTTTTCGAATTTGTCGTTGTGTTTTCTGACTTGTTATTTTGTTTTCGAATTTGTCGTTGTGTTTTCTGACTTGTTAATTTGTTTTCGGATTTGTCGTTGTGCTTTCTGACTTGTTATTTTGTTTTCAAATTTGTCATTGTGTTTTCTGACTTGTTATAATGTTTTCTGAATTGTTATTGTGCTTTCTGAATTGTTATTTTGTTTTTTAGACTTGCATTTACTTTTGTAATTTGTTATTTTGTTTTCAGAATTGTGATTTGTTTAGCACTTCTCAGCCACCGTATGAAATAGATGCGTATCATATGCACGCTGACAAATTTCGTATCGTATGCACGCGAACACTACATATTACATGCACGCCAAAACACATGCGTATCATATGCACGCCAAAGCCCATTTTTGCGTATCAATACCACGAGTTTTCGTTTTTATTTGGCGTACTATTTATACGCATTGTCATGAGGCCGAGTTCACTAAAACACCATGACAAACCAATATCTACTCTGACGTGATGCATACTGCAAGTAACAAAGCTCCAAATATAAGCATTATGCTTGCGATTTACAAAACTATTTTGCATTTCACTGACAATTATAGCTATTTATAACATATAACAATGCATTGCCAGCCAAATGTGTTTTTAATTTCAGAGGCTTGAAAATCCTGATTGTTGACAGATTGGAAATCCTCACAGAATATTCAGCAATAAAAATTACATCCCATCATAAAATAAGACATAAAAGACCATTCTTAGCTACACTATTCTCAGCTTCCATTTTTGCTCAAGTATACTGTACATTCAGCTAATGCTGAAAGCTTTCAAAATTTTCTTTAGTGGTCAATAACCTGAAGAGTAGGGAGGAAAATGTTGCCAAGTTGTTGTTTTAACCCTCATGTTGTGTTCCAGTCGTTTTAACCCAGAGAGGATTTTCTTTTTCACAAAAATGCTAATTAACGTTATGGTATTGGACTAAAACTTACACTCTAAAAAATGCTGGGTTAAATATAACCCAGAGCTAGGTTAAAAAGGGACAAACCCAGCTATTTGGTTGTTTTGACCGTTTTGACCGAGCGGTTGTGTTGTTTTGAACAAAACAACCCAACCGCTGGGTCAAAACAACCCAATAGCTGGGTTTGTCTCTTTTTAACCAAAAATGACCATCCAATCATTGTTGATACATTTCTTGTTATGCTATATTATTTTCAAATATGTGACCCTGGAGCACAAAACCAGTCTTACGTCGCTGGGGTATATTTGTAGCAATAGCCAAAAATACATTGTATGGGTCAAAATTATTGATTTTTCTTTTATGCCAAAAATCATTAGGATATTAAGTAAAGATCATGTTCCATGAAGATATTTTGTAAATTTCCTACTGTAAATATATTAAAACTTAATTTTTGATTAATAATATGCATTGCTAAGAACTTCATTTGGACAACTTTAAAGGCGATTTTCTCAATATTTTGATTTTTGTTTTTTGCACCCTCAGATTCCAGATTTTTCAAATAGTTGTATCTCGGCCAAATATTGTCCTGTCCTAACAAACCATACATCAATAGAAAGCTTATTTATTCCGCTTTCATATGATGTATAAATCTCAATTTTGAAAAATGTACCCTTATGACTGGTTTTGTGGTCCAGGGTCAATATTGGATTCAATCTTTTTATCAACTTGTTTTCTTTCAATTAGCACATGTTTTGTACTTCTTTTTTATTGATCATAGGCCTCAGTGATGTGAGCTTATGTGCCTCAGTTTTTGAGTAAACATTGCCAAAATGATTCAAAATAATGCTGTTTTCACTCAAAAATGTAGGTGCATCAGCTCAGATCACTCATTTCCAAATACAATACCTGTGATAATTCAAAGAAAACAAGTTGACAAAAAGACTGAATCCAATATTTGGTGAAATTTACAACCAATTTTTAAAAGGCTAGTCATTTTTGACCAGGAACACCAAATTAGGTAAAGCACTTCTAACACTTCAAGGCTTAAAAATATTTAGAAATGACAATTCTGTCATCATTTACTCACCCTCATGTTGTTCTAAGCTGTTGAGACTTCCGGAACACAAATAAAGATACTGAATTCTTGCATGAATGTCTTATAGGTTTAGAACAACATGAGAGTGAGTAAATGATGACAGAATTTTCATTTTTGGGTGAACTATCCATTTAATAGCTCACAGCTTTTAACAGGTTTTGGCAAACAGCTGCATGCTTTTTCAGCTGAATGTTTTGTTCCAGGAGGGTCAGCATGCTTTTTCCAAAGGAGACAAAAATATAGCTTTGAGAAGGAGTGGGTTTGTTTTCAGTTTGATTGACAGCAATGAACTCCACATGTCTGGCGCTAGACTAAAATATCCACCACTGAAGCATGCCAATTTATGCAACAGACCATTAAATAAAACAGCACTAACCGTATAAGTCTAAGTAGGCTATACAGACCTTATGTAAAACACTTTGAGGGAGATTAATTTGCTTCATTGTCTTTGTAAGTGATGTAATGTGCTTCTTAAAAATGAAACAAAGGGAATGAAACTAAAGAAGAGCTGCACAATGACCTGAAAATTAAAGAGGAACATTTCATCATCATTTACTTACTTTCATGTTGTTCTAGACTTAGGATGTGTTTCCCATACAACAATGTATCTCGCTGCTTAACTACTGTTTTGTGTTTTAATATTTTACTTTTTAAATTTTGCTGCCTTTATAAAAGACTAATTAGTGGTATTCCTGTTTTATGACAACTGAACCCACATAACAGCTTGGCATGTGTTCACTGAACTAATCTTTCATTCTTAAGGAAATGTTTTTTCTTAAGAGACGTACCAACAGAAATTGACTTTTACAAATAATTCTGAAGTAGGCCTACTCACTGGAATACAGTGGTGGCCAAAATGATTAGAACACTAGTATTTTCACCAGCTAAAAATGGATTTAAGGCAGTTATTTCCATCTTTTGCTTTAGTGTGTCAGAAATATCGGTTTACATTTCCAAACATTCATTTTGCCATTAATTGTAATAATCCATTGAGATTTTTGTCTGACAACAGCCAATGATCCATGCAGAGATCTGATCTGATCATAATCCAGTCTGTCTGGAATGAAAAAATCTAGAATAAAAAAAATCCCCCAAAAATGAAGAAACAGAACACACTGAGACAGACTAAATCCAGAAGACACGTGGCAAAAACATCATAATCCAACCCCATCTCATGGAAGTGTGTATAAATAGTACGCCGAATAAAAACGAAAATTCGTGGTACTGATACGCAAAAATTGACTTTGGCGTGTATATGCTACGCGATGGGTAGGTTTAGGGTTGTGGGGTAGATGCGTATCATATGTACGCGAAAACTGCGTATTATATGCACACCAAACACATGCGTATCATATGCACGCCAAAGTCCATTTTTGCGTATCAATACCACGAGTTTTCGTTTTTATTTGGCGTACTATTTATACGCATTTTCATGAGACCGGGCTCATATCGAGTATGTGAACAACTGATCTATCATATACTGCATATACAATACATTTATTGTATGAGCTCAAACTAAAACCTACTTGTCTTACATAAACATGAATTTGGAGATTGTGAGTTACAAAATGTAATTCTTCTTCAGTCTTTGTTGAAGTTTGTGACTTCTGCTAAAGTTCTGCATTAAGAGTGTCTTACCTAAACTCCGGCGCCGTGTTATTCTTCAGACCATAGAAACCGGCGGAGAGCGTCAGCAGCCAGTGCGGCACAAAACTGCCGTGCTCGCACTCTAGATAGGGCGAAGACCACTTGACATGACTTCTGTCCAGAAAATATCCGCCCTGCGCTGCTGGAAACCCTCGACTTTTGGCCAGCCTCTGGGGTCTCTTGCGGTCCCGAAACTTGTTGAACCAGTCGGACTCAGACGTCCTGTTTTTAAGGCGATGGTGCGCGGTGTTGGACAGATCTTGAAGCACTATGCGCTCCTCGCCTCTGGTCGCCTGAAGGAACACCTGCGGACCGGGCGCCTCAGGAGACTCCGTGTGAAATGTGAGCACCACCCGGTGGATTTTAGGATTCCCTTCCAACATACTCGTCACGAGCGCGTGGTACCACTGGACATCCCTCCTCAGATGCTGCTCCCTGGAGCTGTTGGACTGCAGGAGCATGTTTAGGACGTTGGTGGCGTGCGCCATGGTGTCGAGGACGCCGTGGAGGGAGGAGTGCGAAGCGGCGTGAGCTCCACCGCGGAGGCTGCTCAGCTCGTACCGCCGAGAGCAGTTGACATGCTCCAGGGTGGACGAGTCCCCCGTGTGCAGGAAAGCGGTGACCACCCGCGGCAGATCCTCCTCGAGCTTATGCGCCACCGCCGTCCGCTCGGTGCTGGAGACTGTCGGCTGCTGGTGCATCGTCTCCCCGGTGCTGTAAAGCGGATATTTAGCCTTGATTTCGGGATCTTTGTCGTTTTCAGACCATTCCACGTAGCCATAATCTGATCCCTTCGCAATTCCCATTAGCAGAAGAAGGTAGAGCAGGAATGCATCCATGCCTCGACGCCAACGAGGACCGTGAACGTTCTCCATTGACATTCACTTCCTAAGTGCGTCCATTCCTCAGCTCAACGTAAACAGACGTGCATTCTCAAAAGTTACTCAACTCTAATGGTTCAATCAGACACATCCACACACCGACCACGCCACCCACATCTGTGGATCTGACGCGTCAAGCCTCGTAGATCTTGGAGCGACTGTGGCAAATATCTACAGCATCGTTACTGCCGTGGGTTACTGCAGCGTTCACTACTCCCATCAGTAACGAATGCTCGCTCGGAGCTGGCGGGGGGCTGATTGTTTCCAAAAGCATCTTTCCCTCGTTACTGTACTGGAGACTTGTGAATGGCCATCGCTCCTGTCAGTCTTTGGCACTTGGGTGGGGTGAAGAGAGACAAGAGACAAGGGATGGTGGCACGGGATGTTCTCATGGGCATATTAAGCAATCCTTGTCCATTCTTCTCCTCCATAATCTCATTGATATTAAAGATGCATGGTTTCGTATGCTAAATGTTACATTATTAGGGTAACATTAACCCTTAAAAAATGCACCTGCAAAAACGTTTATAATTGTATAACAGACGAATAATTAGAACACCTTTACAGTACAATATGGCTATTGTTAAAATTATATTGTTATGAGTAGAAAGTAAAGTACAAATGGCCTTATATGGGGATTTATTCTCTTTGTTATCTGATATGTGCATTGAGATGTTTATGTGGCATTTTATGTTGTTTGCTGCATAGCATTCAGCTTCACGATAATAAGCAGAAAAATAACAGTGTTCATGTCTTAAATATTCATCAGTTATGAAACATTACATTTTAACTGTAAAGCAGCTCTACAGAAGAAAATAGTGTCTATTGGCATTATTCAGCTCAATTCTCAAATCATTGAGTCCTTTATCTATTGCCTTCTCCATTGAAAAGGTCGTCTTGTCTGAATCAGGGGAGAAATATGCACAGATCAAGCACTGTTTGCAAGTAAAAACTAAAAGAGTGCTAAACAAATAAGTGGTTTTGATGTGAGAGGACAACAGAGAATTTTTTTTATTTTTTTTTTACTTAAGGAAGCGTTATTATAGATTAAAGACTCAAGCAACGGTTTAAAGTTAAAACGTCTTGATTCATCTGTTTCTTACAAACATTTAGCTTTTCACTTCAAAATGTTAACTGATGGACTGGAGTGGTGTGGATTATTGTGATGTTTTTATCAGCTGTTTGGACTCTCATTCTGACGGCACCCATTCACTGCAGAGCATCCATTGGTGAGCAAGTGATGTAATGCTATACATTTCTTCAACTCTGTTCTGGATTTTATGTCTATATTGTGGGATATTAAAAGATACCAAAATAATCCCACAAGGTCTGTACAACCTGAAATCTATTACCAGGACCAGTAAACGATCCCAATGAGGAAAACGGCTGATTAGGCACTAAATAATATCTTCATAAAAATATCATTGGCTCAGAATAAATGCAACAGAAGTCATAAATTATTAACTATACATACAATAATGTGAATCTAGTACACGCTTATACTGCAGTTTTTTGTTTTGTTTTTTGAGCACATTATGACACTTGATAATGTGTCATGGGAATAACATAACATAACAAATGACACTAATGTTTTGTACAGCTTAAATAAGCAGAAATGGACATTTCTTGTGTGGAAAAATGAGTACACGCTACATTTATCACTACATGAAGTGCCTAAAATTTGAGCTAAGTGCAAATCATGATTAAGGCTACACTTATAGGCCTAATGTAAATCTCAGCAAATTGGTCTGATTTCATCATAAGCATTGGAGTACATGGTAACAAGCCAAGATCAGAGCCCCTCAGAAGAAGGGTTGTTGAGACTTATAAGTCTGGCAAACCAATTTCAAGCTGTTTAAAACTCACCTACAGATTTGGTCTACAATGGATGCTAGCAAGGAAGAAGCTTCTCAACATAGAATCTTAAGGCAATATTGAAATTTGTCATCCAACACCTCCCTGAGGAACAGGAGTTATGTGGCCACAAAACCTCATGTTTGATTAAAACCAAACATTTGAGAAAAAGAACCTCATACCAACTGAAAAACCAAGGTGGAGGAGGTGTTGTGGTTCTGATCATGGAGGAAAAGTCATTGTCTCAAGAAATGTATTGCAAACCAAAACATAAACACAACAATCTACATTACAACAAATATTACAAGCGTATACATCAACACTAAAAAGGTTTTGTTGTCATGTTTTTAACATTCAAACCCAATACTTAAAGCATTACGTTCTTATTATTTGCAAGTTGGTAATTTTTAATTAAAAATATCACTTTTGAAATAGACATGCAATTGCATAACAGAATAAAAAAAATTTTTTCATGTGATCAATTTTTTTATATGTGATCATACAACTAAAAATGATAAATATGTACTGTAAATCTGTAAATAATGTTGTTTTTCTAAGTTGTTGTTTTCTAACAAAAAGATGATTGGATTGCATTTCATTATAAATATTTAGGTTTTTGTACTTTAACATTTCAAGTTTAATTCAGTGTATTACTTGCTATTGCTTTGTAATTGAAATCTGTAGCTACATTTTTGATAACTAATACATATAATTATTAACATCTTATTTAAGTTTTATAATCTGTATGGCCAGAAGTAGGCTATGTGTAACTTTGCAGGTTCAGCTTCGAGTCATTTTTGTGAAGACAAATTTTAGCAGTCAAGCAATAGAGGCTTTATTTCATTATGGAAAGTAAAAAGCACCATCAATAATCAGTTGGCTACAATAACTGATATGATGTACAGTATACTATGTTTTAAAGTGGACTGCATTCATTGCACGCATCTCATCTGTAATGCATGACTTTTCATGTGGGATCTCGCAGAGCTTGAGTGGAACAGCTGATCAGTGAAGTTGAGACAATCAACGGGCAAAAAAAAAATGCTGTGGAGAATATTATTAGTATTGTTCGGGGAACAAATTAACTTCAGATAGACATGTAATGAACAAGTGCTGGGGATTGCACTGAACCCAAACTTTGTCACTTGAGCCCACATACCGATGCGTCAAGCTCCGCCAGCGGTGACACCGTGTCATGTGCGCTGGCGATGACGTCATGGCGAGTGTAGTCATCAGTATGGGATTACATCTCTGCCACAATTCTGTGCGCGAAAGATCATATTATGAGTGCGCAAAAATGCATTTTGCACGCGCGCAAACTGAGTTTTGTGGAGAAAATGTTTGTCTCGCAAAGAAGAAAGTATTTTGAGCGCACGAAAATCAATTTTGCATTTAAAATACGTTTTTGGATGTGTGCAGACCTTCTCGTTTGCGAGTGCAACGTTTCACTAGCTTGCTCACCTGATGCCTGCCCTCAGTGCTCTCTAAATGCCGACAGCTGGCTTGCTCAACAGAACCCAGCGTTACAATATGCCATAATTCCAGCCAATCAGAGACGAGGCTGCTAAATTCTGATTGGCTGCCTGGACAACCAATCACAACATTCCTTGCATTACCTCGACAGAAGAAGAGGAAAAATACACTGCATGCATAATTATTATGCAAGTTGATATTGGTAATTTGATTACATTTTCAGAGTAACGCGCCCAACACTGCTTATTACAGGTTTACATGAGATTTTAGGTCTCAGAGCCCCATTGCATATGAACAGAAGTAAATGCATATTTTATTATATTAATATAAACTCACTTTATTTTGTGCTGTATATTCATATTACATTAAAAAAAATGAGCAATGTATTTGAGTTTGTAAAGATGTACTTTTTTAAAATTTTAAATACTTTTAGTAGCAATATTTAGAACTACAGTCATTTTCAGCATAGTGCCTAATTTATACTGAAAATAATGTTTCTTAATGGACCTGCTAAAGTAGTTTTGAGATTGACTTTTCTTTTTCTTTTTATGCAAGCAAATTTATGCTAAAATTGTGTGGGGAAATTGATATATGTGAGCAGTGCAATGAATTGCCTTTCCTTTTGGGAAGTTAATGACAATCAATTTGCATGTGGATTCATTTTGAAATGACACTACAATTATCACTGGCTTTGGATAAGCGTTTACACAATACGCTGGTTAGCTTGTTGTTTTTAGTCTTGATTACAAGTTTTACCAGTGAAATTAAAAATCAGCTTTGTAGATGGAATTTGATGCCCATATTAAAAGATCATAATTCTATGAAACGAGAGTTAGATGCCACTTTATCATTAGACATTTCTAGGATTTACCAGTGAATCTTTATTAGTGCCAATACTTGTTCTGTTGGAATAATGTCATTGCATTGCAGTTAAATTAAATCTCACAGGAAATGATAGTAAATCATATTGTTTGAATGTGTTTTGTTGGAAAATTCACATTAGGATCACTCAGGCGTTGTTTTAATTTATGATGACAAGAAGGATTATTTTACCGGTAATGACTATGAAGCATGTAGATATTGTGTTCATTTTTTCTGAAAAGCAAACACTTTTTGGATCAAAGTGGACAATTAGATTTTGTTGTGCTGTCATGGGATTTTCCAGGAAAGAGAGTTTGGTGCTTTTGAACTTTCTGTTTCTGATATCTTGTTCCATAGATGCGGTTTTTCCATTTTCCTCAGAATTTGAATTTAGAGCACATTGAAAATGATTTTCCTAAGCGTTTAACAGCATGAAACTGCTTCGATCGTGTGATGAATCACAAGCTTCTTTCACACACGTGCATGTGGACACAAATATTTTCTTTTACAAATGCCACTTTGTTTGCGATTTTCTCAGCATGCCTTCTTCAAAATGAATCATGGCTTTCTTCCATGGAAATTGCTGTGTGAAGTCAGACACGCAACAAAAACCAAGCCAGCCAAGAAACCTTTCTGATTATTATCAGTGTTTATAACCAGTTGTGCTGCTTTATATTTTTGTGGAAACCATGATGATACAGTTTATTTAAAGACCTAATAAGTTACTAAAATGTCTGTAAAGGCCTAGACTAGAGTAAAATGGTATATCA